TTGATACTGAATTCGTTCCTCTTTTGTTAGTTTGATTACCATTTTAATGTTTTTTTTCTAAATTTTTCATTTGAGATTATTAAGTAGATAAAAACTTTTTTAAAATAATTGCAAAATAAGAAATCATGAAATGGATTATCTAATTTAGTATTTGCACCAAACATAGCATAATTAGGCTTTTTTGGCCGGTGACATCAAGCAAATTAAATTGTATTTTTATACACACACAGATCTGTGTCCGCTACAACCTTCGGGTACATTGAAAATGAATCTGCCAAATGAACAAAAAATTTTTTTTTAACATATAAGTTAGTCTACAGTCCTCAACGGATGTTTTTAAATGATTAATAATAAGCTAAATCTTTGTGAGTAGCTTCATTTTGCTGCCATTTTGACCCACATTTATCATCGCTTAATGTGCTGCCTTTTACCTACAGTTATCAACAAAATTACCAAGTTATATAGAAATATATAAAAATTACAAGGTAGGTAGCATTTCCAAGGAGGGTTGACATCAGGCAGGCGCGGTAGCCAGTCGTATAACTTTTGCCAAATCCTATCAGTAGTACGGAAGATGTACTGCGCCGACCCCGTATAGTTTTAAAATGGGCGTGAAGATGACGACGATGATAATAAAATTATTAATCTAACCCTAAAACTATTACAAATTTTTACAAGTTAATCTTTTACGCGTTGAAGAAACATTATTTTTAGAACAATAATATTTGACACAATGTACTCTAGTCGAAAATGTAAATTTAATTAACTTTATCTATTAATTTAAATACATATTTATTTATTCACAAAGAATTACTTCGTCCAAAAACATAATCATGCTCCAAAACATTTATTCACCGTCACTACCGCGCACAGGCGCTCTCCGCGCGTACACTCCGCGTCACAAAGGTTAAACTTCTGAATAACCTAGCAGTGGTACGCACCGCCAATTTTTTTTAAATGTAGCTCAAAAACATATATTTTTGTTGTTTTTTATTTTTTTCAATATCTCTTTTCGTTTTCGAGATAAGATTTTTTATCTGACCTAGACCGGGCGAAAAACGACCGCATTTTACATATTTTTTCAAAAAAATATTTTCAACGTTAAAACAAATTTATTTAAATATGTCGAGGAGTGTAGAAATAAAATTTTGATTTTAATCAAGTTCATTTAATCCAAAAATTAATTTAAAAAAGTTTAAGTTTAAAACTAACTAAATTACAATTCAATATAAAAGAAGGGGGAGGTGGGGATATCCGGTCATTGATAAAATCGATTAGTGAGCAGTAGGTATAATATATAAAAGGTAATAGGTAAAGACCTTAATTATTAGAAATATCAAACAAGTGATTGAGTTTAAATTATAATGAGTGCTGGCATTGTGTATTAAAAGTATAATATAAGGTTTATATTATTTGTCTCAAATAATATAAAAAAAGAAAACAGGACTTTCAAAGTGCTGAATGCAGATACAAATGAACGGTGCAAATTTTATAATGGTGCATTAGAAGCGGCAATAGCACCAGGAAGCCACCGAAAAAGAATCACTTCAACTTCTACGTCAGCAAGTCTTCAAACAAGACAGGAACGCTCCAGCAAGTTTTACTCCATTAGGTTGAAGCATTTAATCTTTATAAACGAAACTTCTCAACTCATATCCAACTATTAAGTGATAATCTGTTACGATAACAATAAGTAAAAAATAAACATAGACGTAGAGAATGGACTGAGAATACTGTCATGAAATTGACCACTCTTTAGAAAGAGAGAAAGGAAAAGCGTCCTTTATTTCATTTTGAATTTAGAAATGAAATGTAAAAAGATTATAATATTATAATTTATTAAAAATTACAATATTATAACGGAATGTGAAATGGCTATAAATATCTATCTTCATTAATCGTACATATTTCAACTAATACCGAAGATTTCTGGCCGTGCATTCATTTTGTCTCTGTCGCGCCTGTCCGCCATTTTTAGTTGACAGGTAGTAAAGAAAAACACTGTCCACTCTCTATGTCTATGAAAAGAAATTAACAATTTTATGAAAATGTAAGATTATTTTATTATAATCTGTGCTCAACCCTTTAAAGCCGTTAACAAAAAATATAATTGAAAATTATTTTATTTAGATTTTAGTATATTGTTTCAAGTTAAATTATATAAAAATCAATAGAAAACCTTAATCGTTATAAGAATACTAGCAGAACCCGCGGCTACGCTCGCGTTCAATCTACAAAAAAAAAACTCTTTGGCTTTATGTTATCATCCCCTATTTTACCTCTTAGAGAATGAATTTTAGAAAACGCTGCAATTCGTAAATCATTATTTTTGTCGTACTCAATACATACGAAATTTCATGCAAAGATGTCCAAGCAATAAAAATTTTCATACAAACTATTATTCCCTATTTCACCCCCTTGGGGGTTGAATTTTGAAAAATCCTTCTTTAGTGGATACCATTCATTATATGAGAAATACGTGTGCGAAATTTCAATTTTCTAGCCTTAAGGGTTTGGCCTGTGCGTTGACACGTCAGTCAATCACTTTTGCCTTTTGTAGTGACTTATTTAGGCAAAGAAAATATATGGAAATTTGTAACTGTAAGTCTCCATAACTTCTGACTCCTCGTCCTCAAAATATCCAAAAATACTACTCACTACTCCAGAGGCCACTGCTTTTTAACAACTCAACAAGCACTCCATTTTAACAATAGGATTTATCTAGGATATCAAAACTTAAATGTATTTTTTTAAGTTTCAACTCACCTTTGTAATGTTGAAATAAGCCAAAATATAAAGAATCTAGAATGGCCAAGAGAGAAGAATCTAGAAAAACAAAAACAAATCAACCAACGGGAACCATACATTTTTCCGAGATAAAAAGTAGGCTATGTGTTATTCTGATGTATGAACTATATTATTGCAACCTTAATATCAGGATAATGTTTTAACAGTATAAACTAAATTGTCAGTTACATATAATAAATATAATGTATGACTATTTTTTTTTATTTGAGTAAGTCTAACACCCATAGACATACGTCCGTGCCTTTGTTGAGCATTTTTATATTTTGTTGATATCTTTTTTTATTTGAAATGGATTCGTGTACAATTTTAGAATCAAAAGATTTGGTGAACAAAAAAGAAAAGCTGAACAATACTATAGTCGAGTGGACTTTAAGAGTCCACCCGATACATACCAAGGAGCGAATATGTATGATTATTATTAAACATGCTGCTCCCTGCTCAACTGCTCCTGACTGCTCAGTTGCGAAAATGACACGTTAGGTTAAACACTTAATTACACTATAACTTACCAAAGCTCCCAATGCAGAGACTAACCAATATTATATACCAGCCTTGAACGCCATTTTGCCAAATTTGGAAATGAATACTATCAGTGCAATGAATTATCTTTTATAAATAATGACGAGATAGTAATTTTAATCATGGTGATAGCAATAATTATCAATTATCCTGATTCAAGTAAGGTGTTGGTATAATAATCACAGGCCTGCGTAATTTACCTTTTTTTCCCCTTACCAATAATTAAATAATTATCTACGTATGTTAAATTAAAATACAGCTTTGTTTTTTTTCTACCATATTGAGATTTATTTTCATTAATGACGTATATTTTACAATTTTTTAACAATTTTCCTGAAAAAAAGAACAAAAATTAATGATATTAAAATAAAATTTTTACTTTAAAGTCAATAGTATTAATTAAAAATAATGCTAAAGTGAAGAAGTAAATCAAAAAGACTTATGGTACCTTTTTCTATTTCCCTCAAAACTCATATTCAATCTTCCTCTCTTACTCTTTCTATCCGATTCATCTCTCTCTGGATGCGTCCATCTCTCATCCAGCAGAAGCCTGCTTGAGCAAACAAAAATACCTTCTTTGATCTTTGTAAAAATAGTTTATTTTTCGTAGTTTGATCGCCAGCAAAGCCGCGGGTTTTGCTAGTACTAAGAAAAATGAAAAAAGTAATTTTCTCAGAAAATTTACGTGATTGTTTTTTTTCTAGATTAATACCTACCCAAGTAGCTAATTAGTTTTTAAAAGGGAAAACCCATTATATCTATATCTAAATAGATCAATCATTACAGATCTGCTTGATAATATTAAATTATTGTACTGTAATCAGATACGCGTTCTTAGTCTATACGAAAATTTATAGTAAGTTAGTATTGATTTGGTAGATTTGTTTATATATTTCATGATTTCTGTTCTATTTTTTTCTAAAATGGTATGCACAAAGCAAAATAATATGGATTTTGGATTTGTCTATGTAACCAAATATCGACTGCAAATCGCAACTCTTGTCAAATATATAAAAAAATTGAAATAAAATATTCTAATTTGATGAGCTATTTAATAAAAATAAGTAAATCAAGAAAAAAATAAGTTGAAAAATAACTTTAATTTTTTTAATCGGTAATTCCAGTTCTTAGTTATTGTGTCATTCTGTTAAGACACTTTGTTGAGAAGCAGTGTTTTACCCCTGCGTCTCGTAAAGCACGTAAAGCCATCGGCCTTGTACCTATTCACTCATCAGTCATGTCAAGTTGTCGTCCCATCGGAATGTGAAGTAAAATTGAAGAATGCATTTGCCTTGCAATTGCACTTGTAATCTATAATGTTTCCTGCGCAGTTGCTATATTATGTAGTATTAGTATGCTATGCTACTCTCAGTGAGATTGGCTACCATAGCTGAAATGGATCAGTAAGACATCATCATATCCATATAACTTTTATCTTTAAAACTATGTCCATTATTCGGGGTGGCTTGTAAGTATGTTTAGACTTAAGTGTCGAATTAAGAAAGTAGCCGGGCGAAGTCAGAATCGGTCCTAGTTAAATTATAATTTATTTTGCATTATTTATTACAATAAGCATAATATTATAACAACACCTTAATTCAATATGATTGATCATTATTCCTATCATCATAGATTAAAATTACTATCTCGTCATTATATATAAAAGCTAATGCATGGCACTAACAGTGTTCATTTCCAACTTTGGCAAAATGGCGTTCAAGGCTGGTTTATTGGTTCTAACTCTCTGCATTGGCAGCTTCGGTAAGTTATAGTTTTTTGTTTTAGTTTTTGTTTTTAAATAAGGATAAACCCGAGCGAAGCGAGAGTGAGTGGATAGTATAATCGTATATGAGAATTATAGGTTTCATCATCATTTTTCACCTTTTATATCAGGATTATTCATATATTTCAGCAATACCAGTCGCTGAAGATGATTATTCCATCTTCTTTGATCACACTGACCCATCGGCCCGTATAGTCGGTGGAACCGTCGCACCAGCTACCCCCCACATGGTGGGTCTTACGACTGGCACGATCACCAGAAGTTTACTGTGTGGTGGATCGGTGATCACCAACAGACACGTCCTGACCGCTGCTCATTGCATTGTCCCTGTGCAAAGCGGCACTGGCTTGTTAGCGTAAGTCATAAATACGTTTCTTAATAAATCTTACTCATAATATTAGGGAAAATGAGAAATGCCGCTGGTAGAAACAATCCAATAAAAATATTCTTCTTGACTTATTTCATAATATTATTCATATGTTTTTTTTAGAAGTATTTTCGAATCAACTCTAAGAATCTTTTTGTTTAATTTTTACGGTACTTCGGTTTTCGAAATTGATTTATTTCATATCGCCATCAGATCTCTGCGAGGTATCGTGGGCTCACTCCGTTTTGCCACTGGAGGAACTGCACTTGTTTTCACCCGAGGAGTTATTCACAATAACTATAGACCTTCACCTATAATAAAGAACGATATTGGCATCTTAGCGACTAGCGGAAACATTCCTATCGGCGGTGGCGTCGCAGTCATCAACCTTAACTACAACTGGGTCGGTGCTGGAGTCGACACCTATGTCACTGGATGGGGAAGGACTTCTGTAAGTCTGTAATATAAACTTAAAGCGATTTCTTTACTATGACATATAATAGTATTATGTACTTGTAGTGTATATTTAAATGTAATAACTAAAGTTGAGTAAAATGAAAATGATTTTAGAACATTGTTTTTGGGTTTCCTTGGTCATTTGTAAAGTTTATTAAGAATTTATAATTTTTCCTTAGGCTGGAGGTGCTCTCTCTCAAGTTCTCTTGCGACTGGATGCTCGCACTGTCGATGGAAACACTTGTCGGGATGATGTAGCTCGCAGATTCCGCGAATTGAACATGTGGCTTGTTCCAGTTGTAGATCCAAACCTAGAAATTTGTACTTTCCTCGCCAATGGAAGAGGAACTTGCAACGTGAGTATTAATGAGTCAGTACCTGGGCGATCGAGCTTCACTCGGAGTTTTCTTTTGTTATATCGTATTTTTAGATAAAAAAGACTAAAAACTTAATAGATAAGAGAGAATAGATAAGAATAAATATAACATAACTAAAATATTGAATGAATAATTTATTATGAAAAACAAAATTTAAACTCCGGACTACAAATAATTATTTTTCTTGAAATATCTTAATAAGATATCGACATTTTTTTAGCAGAAATAGGAAGGGATATTAAAAATTTGTTTCTACTATATAATCTAATATATTTAAACGAGCAATTCTTGTATATGTATACCAATATGTAATCTGAATATCAGAAAAGGCTCCAACGATTTTCATGAAATTTCACAACAAGGGGTTTCGGGGCGATAAATCGATTTAGATTAGTCTTATATCTGAGAAAACGCGTGCTTGCGAGTTTTCATGCAATTTTCTTTTGCTATTCCACGCAAAATATGGTCGGTAATTTGCACGCTCTCACATTCAAGCGGCCATGGTGCAAGATCAACAATCACAGGTGTCCAGGTTCGAATCTCGATCGCAAACAAAGTTTATACTTTTATTTAATTTAAATATTTATTCAAGTTTTTAGTTTTTCTTCTTAAAGAAAATTATACTGTTTAACCAAAAACTCCGAGCGACGCTCGGTGGCCCAGGTATTTATATATAAAGGCAGTGGTAGGCCCAGTGGAAACGCTCTCGCTTGGGAAACCGAGTGGAGCGGTTTCAAATCCGGTTCTCCCACCTCTGATATTGTCATGTGCGAATAATTTCTGTCTTACGGTGAAAGAAAACATCGCGAGCAAACCTACATGTCTGTTCTAAGATCTAGCAAGTTCTCGAAAGAAATGTGCAGTCCACCAACCCAAAATTGGCCAGCGTGGTGGACTATGTTCTGATCCCTCTCGTATTGAAGGGAGGCTCGTGCCCAGCAGTGGGACGTTAAAAAAAGTCTGAATACATATATATAATTATGATTGCTATATATATTATTATTAATTTGTGTTCATAGTGCCGTAAAGTTATAAATATAATAATGTATGTATAAAAACGTAATAATTTCAATAATTTAGTGTAAAATTGCAATAGTGCCACTGGTTTTATCATTTTTATGTACAGGCAGTGTACTTGCAAATAATTTAAATATATTTTCAGGGTGACTCTGGCAGCGCTCTGGTACGTAGAGACAACAATCAGCAAATTGGTGTTGTATCTTGGGGAATACCTTGCGCCCTTAACGCTCCCGATATGTTCGCACGAGTTAGCGCCTACGGTACCTGGATCAACCAGAACCTCAATTAAGGAATTGAAACTTTTTTTTAAATAAAAGCAAGCAATAAACAAACAATTTCATACCTATATTTTTTTATTATTATGATCATAGAAAGCTAAAAAAATATATTGTACTTGCGACTCACTCTCGCTCCGCTCGGGTTCATCCCTACTTACGTTATAACGTTTAGTATAGATTTCTCAGAGATGAAATATTTTCCCGCAATAAAAAGTATATATATATATATATATATGTTGTCCAAGATTACCAGCTATCATCTTATCAAATTTCATCAAAGGCCCTTCTGTGATTTTTCCGTGATGCGGTTACAGACAGACATATTCTAAAAACAATAGATTCAGCCTCTATATCGGTAATAATGTCTATTTCAATTAGAATTTCCATAAAATATTTAATGTATAGATTTGACTTAATTATAATTTTATTACATGTGTAGTAATAGAAATACAGTTTCCTTCTCCTGTCAGTCAATTTTTAGTCCAATTTTTAGAAAAACAAAATGGTACGGAGTTAGAGCAATACGAATGTCTCTGGTACTAAAAAAGGACGTCCAGACACAGTGTGTGTCTTTTAACTTATTTTAAATATACTTTATTGAAATAGACTTATAAATACAATATTATAAACACAAACACTTATAAATCTTCACTTTTCACTTATTAAAATTTTAATTAAATATCAGTAAGTCTGTGAGGGATCTACCACCGGCTTGGAAGGCAGTTCTGCTGAGAGAGCCGGCAAGAAACTCAACAGTTGCTCCTTTTAAAATAATATTTGCTTACAGTATTGCTATACAATTTTTATTATCTACTTATCTTACCAGACCCAACCAGACGTAAGTCTCACATATTGACATCTACAAAGTATTCCGTCATGGTGTAATAAGCTTTCAATAATTATTGAAGATCAAACGAACTTAGCAAATGAAGTTCGGTCACAATTATGTGAGCAGCTTCATTCGACGCGATTCACATATTGTAGATGTATTTCCAACTATCAGCCTAGCACGGAATTTTAAAGTAGTTTTTTTTTAAGTAGCAACATTTTATTTCAAATATCCCACTTCCTAATCCCCACCTATCCATACTTCCTCTTTGCAATATTTTGTATGGCTCGTCATTTAGTGTAAAGATTATTACCATTTTATATTTGTCGTTTTTAATTTGTTAAAACTAGGGCTGGGTAAATACGAAATTATATTAAGTCCTTTTGAAGGTAGAAATGTAATTATGTTAATATTCTATTATGTAGGGTGGGTTTATATAAATCGCGAATTGTGATCGAACTTTACTTGGTAAGTTCGTTTGATCTTCAATTATGTTTCGCAGCTTCATTCTTTGCGATTTGGATTCACATATTGAAGGATGTTCAGAGAAATATAGCAAATATAAAATGTAACCATGAATGTAATATGAAAACAGGTAAGTATTAAAGGACATGTAAGTACGAGTATGAACATAAGTTTCATTTATCATTTTGTGTATTTAATTCTTTCTATACATTTAATTATATTTTAATTCTTAACATTTTCAGAGGAAAGTACCGATTCAGCAAAATTATCAACAATAATTTCTTTATTATAAAATCTGGCAAAAGTTACAGATGATTGACTCCAACCGGCAGTCTTTCTAATTACATCTATATTAACACCAAGTTTGTTGGCTATAATGGACGTAGCTGCATGTCGCGTACTATGTGCGGTAAAAATAGAAGTGTTTATGCCCCTTTTATTAAGTGTATCGAGACCTTCATGTGGCCATTGCGCAGACAAATAATTAAGAACAATACTAGGGTCCCACGTAATACTATATTTAGGTTGAGAAAGTCTCGTTCTGAAAACCCCTTTCATAAATCTTTTAATACAATCATCCTTAAGAATATTAGGAAATAATAGAGATAAGGCAAATTTGTGTGAATTTATTGTTCCATACTTAACGTCTTTATGAAAACATTCACTCATATAATCCAATATAACAGGAATAGACATATAGGAAAAATCGTGATTTTTATTCTTACAAAACCCTAACCAAGACCTTATGCAACTGTCATACTGTTTGTAAGTATTATCTGAAAGTGAATTCATTAGAATATCTACGGTTCTAGATGTCAGACCCATTTTTAAATATGTTTTCCTCACAACTTCGTGGCTACTAAGCACAAGGTCTGATGAAGACTGTGTGATGATCTGAAAGGAGAAGTTAGTAAATTAACGTTTGGCTCAAAATATATACACGGTGAACAAATTAATTTATTAAATAAGGGGAACCACGGTTGTGTAGGCCAGTATGGAAAAACTAATACACCTTCTGCTTTATTTGATATTATTTTTCGCAAAACTTTCAATATTAAAATAAATGGAGGAAAGGCATAAAAAATATGTTTTTCCAGGACACAGAAAAGGCATCAACAGCTAGTGCATCGGGATCTCTTTTCCAAGTTATATATTTTTTACATTTTGCATTACACCGACTTGCAAATAAATCAATATCAAATTCAGCAAAATTTATCGCAATTTTTTGAAATGCATAGTCTGCCAATTCCAATTCAGTGTCCTGAAACTTTTTACGAGACAAAGAATCTGCTTCTGTATTATCCTTCGTATTAATATATGATGCAAAAATATACAATTTATGCGTCTCACACCATTCCCAAATATCTTTGCTTATTTGACAGAGATGAGGACATTGCTCACTTCCCATTCTGTTTATACACGAAATGGCGGTTGTATTATCAATACGTAAAAGAATTTCTTTGCCAAATAAATTTTTTGTGAACACTTTTAATGTGAAAAAAGCTGCTTTTAATTCTAACTCATTAATGTGTAGACAAGTTTCCTCGAATTTCCAAAATCCATGAACTTTTTTACTACCACAATAACCACCCCATCCAGTAAGAGAAGCATCAGAAAAAATCTCTAAGTCGTAATTGTTAAATCTAAATAGACAGTCAGAATTATCTATATTAACTAACTACCAATTTATATCTGGTTTTAAACTATCAGGTACATTAATTATTTATCATAAGAAGAATTTTTAAGTAGACATATATATTAATGTACTCAAACTGCTTTTTATGTAACCAGGAATATTCTACTGCAGGGCAAACAGATATTAACAAACCTATAAATCTCGCAAAATTACGTAATTTACATTTCTTTAATTTCACAAATGTCAATAAGATTTCTTTTACTTTATATTTTTTATCATCGGGTAGTTGTAGAAACATATTTTTTGAATCGTACACAAAACCTAAAAAATTACATTGATGTTTAGGGATTAAGGAACTTTTATCAGTGTTAATGATGAAACCTAACGATATTAACAATTTTTTAATATTATGAACATTATTCTGACACTCTTGAAAACTTTCTCCAAAACATAAAAGATGATCGAGATAAATTACTGACAAAATATTATATTTATACTACGAATATATTCTATGACAGGTTTTAGAAGCTTTGTGAATACATATGGTGCAGTGCATAAACCGAATGGTAAACAGGTGAATTCGTAAAGACAGCAGTTATACATAAAACGTAAAAACTTCCTGTGATATTTATTTATATTAATTAAAAAATAAGCGTCTTTCAAATCTAAGGATGCCATATAACAGTTTTTAGTTATCAAGTTTGATGCAGTGCGATAATCTTCCATCTTGAAATGATTTTTTTAATATATTTATTTAACCTTTTTAAGTTTAAAATTAACCTTTTTTCACCATTAGGCTTAGGAACTAGAAATATTCGTGATAAAAAATCAAAATTTTCATGACTACATTTATATATAGCTCCAATTTTTAATAATTTTGCAATTGATTTTTCGTAATCATATGATTCAATTATAGAATCAGAATATATTAAAGGACAATTTACTTGCATTGGTAAAGAAATAAAGGGAATTCTATATCCATCAATCCAAGATAAAACTGTGGTATCACTAGTGATCTTATACCAATTAGACATAAATAACTTTAATCGGCCTGCGTACGGTACCTTATTTATTTGCGAGTCGACCTGCGTATCGGCGGAGGTGGTTGGTGTGAAGAGGGCGGCGGTGGTGGAGGCAGTCGCTGCATCCAGCGAGTCTGCCGTTGCGAACTGCTGTTCTGGTGACGTGGTGGCAGGACTGCGTACGGCCTCCCTGCATGTTGCCTGCCTGTTGTCTTTTGATGCAGGGGCTTGTAGTTTAAATTATTCTTGCTGTTAAAAGATTTATTATTAGAAAAGTTAGCCCTACAAAATGGTGCTTGTGACACCTTTAGTGCTTCAGCAGAGCGTTGTATAGTTTTTGCTGTTTTAAGCTTTTCTGACATGTTATCTCCGAAAAGAAACTTGTCAGCTTCAGAGTTCGCCAATGTATCTTTTAAGCCAGTATTGATGGAAGCAATGACAAACTTTCGTCTCGTTTTTGTTTCGTCATGATGCATATCACAAAAATTTTACAAACATCGTTGACAGGTTTTAAAACTTTTTGTTTTAACCCTTGCTCACAATTTGTAGAAATAATAATTTCAATGGATTGACCTAGCGCAGAAATAGCATTGGCGAATCGTTTTTGTCTGTTCATTAAAGAAGTGTCTCTTTTTATAAATTGTTCAAGTAAAGCAACTTTTACTTCAGGATTTAAAACAGGCAGCACGAGTAACTCGCAGTTACTAGGAACTAAATATTCCTTGTCTAATAGATCCTTTTGTTCCTTATTTAATCCTTTCTTTAATACCTCAATCCATCTGGCAGCTATGTCCTTATGGATAGATTTTCCTAGCGTGGTGTCTGGTTCAGGTGCATTCCCAAGTATTTCTAAAATACCCTAATCTAGCTTATCGTCAACAGTTTCTATTGGTTCTGTAGCTGGGTCTGCAGGGAAAAGCTGAGAACCATCTTGATGCTCAGAATTGTGTGTCTCCACTGTATGGGGCGAACAGGGTGCATCACATGGTGTGAGCACACCTGTCATCTTGTCTGCTTATAGAAACTGGTCTTCGCATGGACCTGTGAATATTTATCACATATTATTGAAAACGATCTCAGGATCGTCAAATGTGGCAAGCATGATGGTAAAAACTCATCAGCTCCCTTATATGATGGTAAAAACGCATCAAATTAAGCGTGACGGTAAAATCGCATCACTTGTGCTTATACATTTGAATTTGTAGTATATCAAATTTTAACGGTAAAAAATTAAATAGTGTAAAGTCAAAGTGAACAAAAAATAAAATTATGCAATAAAAATTTGAATATATTAATTTAGCTAAATTTTTATTTACATTTACCGTCAGATTTTAAGAAAAAAAGTACTTACTCTGAATATCTTCGTCTGACGAAATTATTCTTCGACGATTCTGCAGTTCACTTTTCAATTTTCTTATCTTTTTTCGAATAGATTCTTCACTTTTGTCACGTTTTCTTTTCTTCCCCATTTTGATTGAGTCCAGTTTTAACGTGCGTAGGTTTCAGCACGGAAAAACATAGTGACGAGCCACACGAAATATTGCAAAGAGGAAGTATGGATAGGTGGGGATTAGGAAGTGGGATATTTGAAATAAAATGTTGCTACTTAAAAAAAAATACTACTTTAAAATTCCGTGCTAGGCTGATAGTTGGAAATACATCTACAATATGTGAATCCAAATCGCAAAGAATGAAGCTGCGAAACATAATATATTCTTAAATTTAGACTTAAATTGTTAAAAAGCAAACTCAATATCGACTGTGGAATTCTTTTATACATGTATGTACGTCTTGCCCCATAAACGATCTATTTACTTTTAGAAGGCGAAAGCTAGGCGTCATCAATTTATCCTTATTTCTAGAATTTATACCGTGTCTATCTCTGTGTCTTAAATATCTATGGATATTCTGTCGGACAAACGTTTATTGCGATGCAATCCTAAGTATACCTATTTTTTTTAAGTTATGGTACATTATCTCAAGGCCCGATTTTTTTTTGTTTTTTTTTTGTTTGATTTATTTGAGATTGGACTAACAATGATTCTACAAAGTTGTAACATCTAATTCTATAATCTAATTACAAAGGAACTAAATTAATATTTGAATACACTTAGAGTTCGTAATAATTATATTAAAAACTTTTTAACAAAAAAATAAAAGCCGACTTCAAACAAAAGCACTAAAAAGTAAAAAATAACTGATTGGTAGTTTTCATTTACTATACATACCTAATCAAATATTTTCGAAGTCGGTGTGCTTTGCTTTGTATGGGCTGGCACTGATTTCGAAAATGTTTGATAAGGTATGTATTTAATAGGTAGGCTTTAATTACTTAGCCAAAGCACACCGACTTCGAAAATATTTGATTAGGTATGTATAGGAAATGAAAACTACCAATCAGTTATTTTTTACTTTTTAGTGCTTTTGTTTGAAGTCGGTTTTTATTTTTTGTTAAAAAGTTTTTATTTTTCCCTTTTTAGTGTAGACAGTAGTAGCAAAGTAAGGATTCTAACGTGTTAGGCTTGTCAAATCAAACAAAATAAGCCCAAACTCAAAATATCTACTATTAGCCGTTGAAGAGGTCCACCTATCCACCTTCTGGCCTTGCCATCAGATCAGGTCAACAACACCGAACCACTGTACTATCAACGGAAATAGAAATACTTGCAAAGTTTCAAGTCAATATGACAATTAGAAGTAGGTTAAATTCATCATTAGTTGTTTCTCCACCCTTGGGGGTGGTATTTTTTTTTGATATTTAAATGGGACCAATCTGGAAGTATACCCTTTCAAACAAAACAAAACTTGTCCAAATCGGTTAATAAATGACGGAGTTCTGAGGTAACAAACATAAAAAAAAAAAAACATACAGTCGAATTGAGAACGTCCTCCTTTTTGAAGTCGGTTGAAAATATACAAATAGATGTATGTACCTACCTCATAATTATATTAAAAGTCATGTTCACGTGGAATTGTGGTAAGAAAGCTAGATACATTTTCTTATTTAATATCAATAACCTTAGGCGCTGTCTCTCTAATATGAGACAGAGCTACAGTATATACATATGTTAATTTATTTATTTTATTAATTTATTTTACATGCAATTAGAACGGCGGCGCTACTTACGCTGACTAGATTATACATTATAAATAATTACAAACATAAAATACACAAACAATTGACATTCATCTTAAGTTACATACAAGTTATTCTATGTATGTATATATATTTTGCTAAAGTAAGGAAGGTCTATTTCCATTTAATATTTCTGTTTGCAATTCAGAGTAAAAATTGATCGCACAGCACGCTTATAACCTAGGTATCACTATATTAGGTCTGAAATAAAAAATAAAAATAGCCGGACTGCCAAAAATCGGGGCCGGGTCTAATTATATCATATACATTATTTTATAAGAACATAAAATATCATTATTTAATCCGAGTGATTGATCATTGTTATTATCAAAGATGATTAATGTTAATATCATTGTTTATAAAAGCTAATACATGACAATAACGTTTCACATATCCAATACTGTCAAGATGTTGTTCAAGGCTGGAATATTGGTTCTAACGCTTTGCGTTGGGAGCTTTGGTAAGTTAAATTTCAATTAGTATTTGACCTTATATCTCGTTCGAGCAGCTTAAAAAACTCAAAATAAACTTCATTCTAACAGACTTGTGTCATCAATTCACTTCAATTTACAAATGAAAGTGTTAGTGATTGATGTTGAGATAACTATCGCATATTTATTATCTCTTGACACCGGTGTAGAATATTACCATCTATATGTTCTGGGATCGTAAACTAAAGTACGTCTTTTGCACTACAATGATTTGGTTCACCAGGGTCCCTTTTGGTGGTTTACGAACACACGCAGTATTTGCACAGATTTGGATTAGACACTATTTTCCACCACTGCTTCCCACTTTTCCTCACTTTTCACTTATTTTTATTTCTTATTAATCTTCTCTTAGCTACGAAATTCAAATAAACTCACGACACATTGCCGCCCTTTTTTATGCACATGTAAAGAGCATTCTAATATTCGAAACTTTTCCTCTCTGGAAAATGTTTTTGTTCCTCTCTCACTCACGATAATTTACCATTAACTGTCATTCGTTCAAAACTGTCTTAGATTGTTTTAAGCATGCTTCAGACATGCCAATTTTTATTACTTTTTCTAATGTAAAGACTTCCTTGATCTATTATAAAGTTTTATTGTCTTATTAAGTAAATTATACCATTTGTATAACTAATCCTAGATTTTACAATTATAGGTGTCATAATTTTTCACTTTTTATATCAGAACTATTCTATTATTTTAGCACTTCCGCTCAAAAAGGTACACAGAATGTGGACAACACCGTTGAAGAGGATTTGTCCATATACTTTATCCATGTGGACCTATCGGTCCGTATAGTAGACGGCAACCCCGCAGCGCAAACTCCTCATATGGTGGCTCTTGTTTTACTGGTACGCAAGTCAGAACTTTATTGTGCGGTGCATCGATAATTACCAACAGACACGTCCTGACTGCTGCTCATTGTCTTGATGCTGTGCGATTCGGTCACATTTTCAACCGACTTCAAAAAGGAGGAGGTTCTCAATTCGACTGTATGTTTTTTTTTTTTTAAATGTTGTTACCTCAGAACTCCGTCATTTATTAACCGATTTGGACAAGTTTTGTTTTGTTTGAAAGGGTATACTTCCAGATTGGTCCCATTTAAATTTCAAAAAAAAAATACCACCCCTAAGGGTGGAAAAATAGCTAATGATGGATTTAACCTACTTCTAATTATCATATTGACTTGAAACTTTGCAAGTGTTTCTATTTCCGTTGATAGTACAGTGGATCGGTATTGTTGACCTGATCTGATGGTAAGGCCAGAAGGTGGATAGGTGGAACTCTTCAACGGCTAATAGTAGATACTTTGAGTTTGGGCTTATTTTGTTTGATTCGACGTTAGAATTCTTACTTTGCTACTACTGTCTACACTAAAAAGGGAAAAATAAAAACTTTTTAACAAAAAATAAAAACCGACTTCAAACAAAAGCACTAAAAAGTAAAAAATTACTGATTGTTAATTTTCATTTACTATACATACCTAATCAAATATTTTCGAAGTCAGTGTGCTTTGGCTAAGTAATTAAAGAATACCTAATAATACATACCTTATCAAATATTTTCGAAATCAGTGCCAGCCCATACAAAGCAAACTTACAACTAGTAACTAGTACTACAAATAGTAAATGAAAACTAACAATCAGTTATTTTTTACTTTTTAGTGCTTTTGTTTGAAGTCGGTTTTTATTTTTTTGTTAAAAAGTTTTTTGTTCTCGTAAGTGATGAATAAGTTCAGTTTGTCCAAAATAATGTGACTAGCATCTTACTTTCCCTTCTTTTGGATGCATCCACCAAAGCCACCTTCTAACCAATTTTATGATTAATAAATATAAATATGTTGGAACATTAACACATACCACCATTTAGTTCCATGGTAAGCTACAAGGCTTGTGTTATGGATACCAGATAGTGGATACACTACACATATATAACTTTAGATATATATGTGTAGATTGGCTACCATAGCTGAAATGGATCAGGAAGATATCATCATATTCATATAACTTTTATCTTTAAACCATTATTCGGGGTGGCTTGTAAGTATGTTTAGATTTAAGTGTCGAATTAAGAAAGTATCCCGGCGAAGTCAGGATCGGTTCTAGTTAAATTATAATTTATTTTGCATTATTGATTACAATAAGCATAATATTATAACAACACTAATATTCAATATGATTGATCATTATTCCTATCATCATAGATTAAAATTACTATCTCATCATTATGTATAAAAGTTAATGCATGCCACTAACATTGTTTATTTCCAATTTTGGCAAAATGGCGTTCAAGGCTGGTTTATTGGTTCTAACTCTCTGCATTGGGAGCTTCGGTAAGTTATAGTTTTTGTTTTAGTTTTTGTTTTTTAATAAGGACAACCCCCAGCGAAGCGAGATTGAGTGGCTAGTATAATCATATATGAGAATCATAGGCTTCATCATCATTTTTTACCTTTTATATCAGGATTATTCATATATTTCAGCATTACCAGTCGCTGAAGATGATCATTCCATCTTCTTTGACCACACCGACCCATCGGCCCGTATAGTCGGTGGAACCGTCGCACCAGCTACCCCCCACATGGTGGGTCTTACGACTGGCACGATCACCAGAAATTTACTGTGTGGTGGATCCGTGATCACCACCAGACACGTCCTGACCGCTGCTCATTGCATTGTCCCTGTTCAAATCGGCACTGGCTTGTTAGCGTAAGTCATAAATACGTTTCTTAATAAATCTTACTCATACTATTAGAAAATGAGAAATGCCGCTGGTAGAAACAATCCAATAAAAATATTCTTCTTGACTTGTTTCATAATATTATTCATATGTTTTTTGTTTGGAAGTCTTACTCTAAGAATCTTTTTGTTTAATTTTTACGGTACTTCGGTTTTCAAAATTGATTTATTTCATATCGCCATCAGATCTCTGCGAGGTGTCGTGGGCTCACTCCGTTTTGCCTCTGGAGGAACTGCACTCGTTTTCACCCGAGGAGTTATTCACCATAACTATAGACCTTCACCTATAATAAAGAACGATATTGGCATCTTAACGACTAGCGGAAACATTCCTATGGGCGGCGGCGTCGCAATCATCAGCATTAACTACAACTGGGCCGCTCCTGGAGTCGACACCTATGTCACTGGATGGGGAAGGACTTCTGTAAGTCTGTAATATAAACTTAAAGCGATTTCTTTACTATGACATATAAAATTAACACTCGATTATAAAGTAGTGGTGATGAGATTTTTTTTATATAATAATTTTGCTACCCGACTATGGTGGAGCTCAAAGGAGGACTATTTATTTATTGTTTTATGTACTTGTAGTGTATATTTAAATGTAAACAATTAAAAAAACTAAAGTTGAGTAAAATGAAAATGATTTTAGAACATTGTTTTTGGGTTTCTTTGGTCATTTGTAAAGTTTATTAAAAATTTATAATTTTTCCTTAGGCTACAGGTGCTCTCTCTCAAGTTCTCTTGCGACTGGATGCTCGCACTGTCGATGCACACACTTGTAGGGATGATGTAGCTCGCAGATTCCGCGAATTGAACATGTGGAATGTTCCAGTTGTAGATCCAAGCCTAGAACTTTGTACTTTCCTCGCCAATGGAAGAGGAACTTGCAACGTGAGTATTAATGAGTCAGTACTTGGGCGATCGAGTTTCACTCCGATTTTTTTTATTATGTCGTATTGTTAGATAAAAAAGAATAAAAACTTGAATAAATACAAAAAAAACCAAAGTAAAAACTTTGTATTCGACTGGGATTTGGACCCGGACACATGTGATTATCAATCTTGCGCCTTAGCCGCTTGACCACGATGCATAAACCCGAGTGTGCGAAATTAGCGACAGTATTTTGCTTGAATGAAACCGCATAAAAACTTGAAAACATGCGTATTACCAAAAATAAGACTAATCTACTTAGATTTTTCGCCCCCGAAAACCCTCACATACCAAATTTAGATACCAAGTTAGAGCCGATTCCAAAATCGCTGGTATATACAAGAATTTCTCATTTACAGGTATTAGATGAATTAGATGAATAAGATACATAAGATGAATAATTTATTATGAAAAACAAAATTTAAACTCCGGACTACAAATAATTATTTTTCTTGAAATATCTTCATAAGATATCGACATTTTTTTAGCAGAAATAGGAAGGGATATTAATAATTCGATTCTACTTTATAATCTAATATATTTAAACGAGCAATTCTTATATATATATATACCAATATGTAATCTGAAACTCGGAAACGGCTCTAACGATTTTCATGAAATTTAGTATACAAGGCGTTTCGGGGCGATAAATCGATTTAGATTAGTCTTATATCTGAGAAAACGCGTGCTTGCGAGTTTTCATGCAGTTTTCTTTTGCTATTCCACGCAAAATATGGTCGGTAATTTGCAAGCTCTGGTGTAAGCATCGTGTTCAAGCGGCCATGGTGCAAGATCAACAATCATAGGTGTCCAGGTTTGAATCTCGATGGCATACAAAGTTTTTACTTTTATTTTATTTAAATATTTATTCAAGTTTTTAGTTTTTTTTAAAGTAGACGCAAGATTGACAATAATAGGTTTCCGGGTTCAAATCCCGGTCGGATATAAAGGTATAATTTATTATTGTTTTTTTTTGTATTTATTCAAATTTTTAGTTATTCTTCTTAAAGAAAATTATATATTTTAACCAAAAACTCCGAGCGACGCTCAGTGGCTCAGGTACTTATATATAAATGCAGTGGTAGGCCCAGTGGAAACGCTCTCGCTTGGGAAACCGAGGGTTTCAAATCCGGGTCTCCCACCTCTGATATTGTCATGTGCGATTAATTTCTGTCTTACGGTGAAAGAAAACATCGCGAGCAAACCTACATGTCTGCTCTAAGATCTAGTAAGTTTTCGAAAGAAATGTGCAGTCCACCAACCCAAAATTGGCCAGCGTGGTGGACTATGGTCTGATCCCTCTCGTATTGAAGGGAGGCCCGTGCCCAGCAGTGGGACGTTAAAAAAAGTCTGAATACATACATATAATTATGATTGCTATAGATATTATTATTAATTTGTGTTCATAGTGTCGTAAAATTATAATTATAATAATGTATGTATAAAAACGTAATTATTACAGTAATTTAGTGTAAAATTGTAATAGTGCCACTGGTTTTATCATTTTTATGTACGTGTACTTGCAAATAATTTAAATATATTTTCAGGGTGACTCTGGCAGTGCTCTGGTACGTAGAGACACCAATCAGCAAATTGGTGTCGTATCTTGGGGAGTACCTTGCGCCCTTAACGCTCCCGATGTGTTCGCACGAACTAGCGTCTACGGTACCTGGATCAACCAGAACATCAATTAAGGAATTTTAACTTTTTTTTAAATAAAAACAATTTTATGCCTATATTTTTTTATTATTATGATCATAGAAAGCTAAAAAAATATTGTTCTTGCGACTTACCCTCGCTCCGCTCGGGTTCATTCCTACTTACGTTATGACGTTTAGTATAGATTTCTCAGAGTTGAAATATTTTCCCGCAATAAAAAGTATCCTATATGTTGAGATTACCAGCTATCATCTTATCAAATTTCATCAAAATCCCTCCTGTAATTTTTCCGTGATGCGTTTACAGACAGACATATTCTAAAAACAATAGATTCAGCCTCTATATCGGTAATAATGTCTATTTCAATTAGAATTTCCATAAAATATTTAATGTATAGATTTGACTTAATTATAATTTTATTACACGTGTAGTAATAGAAATACAGTTTCCTTCGCCTGTCAGTCAATTTTTAGTCCAATTTTTAGAAAAACAAAATGGTACGGATTTAGAGCAATGTCTCTGGTACTAAAAAAGGACGTCCTTTCACAGTGTGTGTCTTTTAACAAATTAAATCAAATTAAAATATACTTTATTGAAATATACTTATAAATACAATATTATAAATATAAACACTTATAAATCTTCACTTTTCACTTATTAAAATTTTAATTAAATATCAGTAAGTCCGTGAGGGATCTACCACCGGCTTGGAAGGCAGTTCTGCTGAGAGAGCCGGCAAGAAACTCAACAGTTGCTCCTTTTAAAATAATATTTGCTTACAGTATTGCTATACAATAATTATTATTTACTTATCCTACCTACCTTTACCTACTACTACCACTAGACGTTAGTCTCACATATTGATATTTACAAAGTATTTCGTTATGGTGTAATAAGCTTTCAATAATGTATTCTTAAATTTAGACTTAAATTGTTTAAAAAGCAAACTCAATATCGACTGTGGAATACTATTATACATGTGTACGTATCTTGCCCCATAAACGATCTATTCACTTTTTGAAGGCTAAAGCTAGGCGTCATCAGTTTATCCTTATTTCTAGTATTTATTCCGTGTCCATCTCTGTGTCTTAAATAGCAATGTATATTCTGTCGGACAAACGAGTATTGCAATACAATCCTAAGTATACCTATTTTTTTTTTAAGTTTTCGTACAGTTTTTTTAAATTTTTGTACAAAAAATCGGGCCTTGAGATGCCCGATTTTTTTATTTTTTTGTTTGATTTATTTGAGATTGGACTAACAATGATTCTACAAAGTTGTAACATCTAATTCTATAATCTAATTACAAAGGAACTAAATTAATATTTGAATACACTTAGAGTTCGTAATAATTATATTAAAAATATACAAATAGATGTATGTACCTACCTCATAATTATATTAAAAGTCATGTTCACGTTGAATTGTGGTAAGAAAGCTAGATACATTTTCTTATTTAATATCAATAACCTTAGGCGCTGTCTCTCTAATATGAGACAGAGCTACAGTATATACATATGTTAATTTATTTATTTTATTAATTTATTTTACATGCAATTAGAACGGCGGCGCTACTTACGCTGACTAGATTATACATTATAAATTATTACAAACATAAAACACACAAACAATTGACATTCATCTTAAGTTCCATACAAGTTATTCTATAATCTAGGTATCACTGTTTTAGGTCTGAAATAAAAAATAAAACTCCCAAAAATCGGGGCCGGGCCTAATTATATCATATACATTATTTTATAAGGACATAAAATATCTTTATTTAATCCGAGTGATTGATCATTATTATTATCAAAGATGATTAATGTTAATATAATTGTTTATAAAAGCTAATACATGACAATAACGTTTCACATATCCAATACTGTCAGGATGTTGTTCAAGGCTGGAATATTGGTTCTAACGCTTTGCGTTGGGAGCTTTGGTAAGTTAAATTTCAATTAGATATTTGACCTTATATCTCGTTCGAGCAGCTTAAAAACTCAAAATAAACTTCATTCTAACAGACTTGTGTCATCAATTCACTTCAAACTTTACAAACGAAAGTGTTAGTGATTGATGTTGAGATAACTATCGCATATTTATTATCTCTTGACAATATATGTGTAGGCGGTGTAGAATATTACCATCTATATGTTCTGGGATCGTAAACTAAAGTACGTCTTTTGCACTACAATGATTTGGTTCACCAGGGTCCTTTTTGGTGGTTTACGAACACACACAGTATTTGCACAGATTTGGATTAGACACTATTTACCACCACTGCTTCCCACTTTTCCTCACTTTTCACTTTTTTTATTTTTATTAATCTTCTCTTAGCTACGAAATTCAATTAAACTCACGACACATTGCCGCCCTTTTTATATGCATAATATGTAAAGAGCATTCTAATATTCGAAACTTTTCCTCTCTGGAAAATGTTTTTGTTCCTCTCTCACTCACGACAATTTACCATTAACTGCCATTCGTTAAAAACTGTCTTAGATTGTTTTAAGCATGCTTCAGACACGCCAATTTTTATTACTATTTCTAATGTAAAGACTTCCTTGATCCATTATAAAGTTTTATTATCTTATTAAGTAAATTATACCGTTTGTCTTGTTTACATAAATAATAACTGTTGGTCTTAATTTTCAAACGAAGAAAATATCAAATAAACTAATTCTAAATTGTACAATTATAGGTGTCATCATTTTTCACTTTTTATATCAGAACTATTCTATTATTTCAGCACTTCCGCTTAAAAATGGTACACAGAATGTGAACAGCACCGTTGAAGAGGATTTGTCCATATACTTTATACATGCGGACCCATCGGTCCGTATTGTAGGCGGCACTCCCGCAGCGCAAACTCCTCATATGGTAGCTCTTGTTACTGGTACGCAAGTTAGAAGTTTATTGTGCGGTGCATCGATAATTACCAACAGACACGTCCTGACTGCTGCTCATTGTCTTGATGCTGTACGATCCGGTCACATATTGCTCTCGTAAGTGATGAATAAGTTTTGTTTATCCAAATAATGTGACTAGCATGTTACTTTCCCTTTTTTTGGATGCGTCCACCAAAGTCACCTTCTAACCAATTTTATTATTAATAAATATAAATATGTTGGGACATTAACACATAACACCATCTAGTTCCATGGTAAGCTACAAGGCTTGTGTTATGCATACCAGATAGGGGATACACTACACAAATATAACTTTAGAAAAATACAATATATAATATTTATATAAGAAATATAAATATAAACCCATGACTGAAGTACAAACATTCAAGCTCATCACACAAATGAATACCCCCAGTGGGACTCGAACCCGCGACTGCTGACTCAGCAAGTATGGTCATTACAAACTAAATAGTGTTATTGTTGCCCGTGGGGAGACGGGCTTAGAATACATTTCTCCCCCGCCGCTGGGAAAGCGTCTCGTAAAAGGCGAGTAACCCATGCTAGTATGGTGGTAGAGGGCACCGCTCTCGACTGGCTCGCGACCACTATCATGTCGTATTCGATTGCCAAATGTCCTCGGACGTGTTCCAGTCGTAGACATGTAAGCCAGCCCCCCTTTCCCGAATTCTGTTGATCTCGGCGACCTCAGGACCGGTATTTTGGTGAAGTTTGTCCCTTCAATTCAGGCGTGTTATGTTGGCATGGGGTCCAGGGAGACCCGATGAAACGGTGTACTTCTGGCCGCCCGTTGGTTCGTAGGGGACCCGAACCCAAACTTATCCCGGTTTGGGAGGCTGTCCCGCCACCAATGTTAAAAGCCCGTGCGTTGATCACAGTGCCGGAGTGGGAGACCGGTGTGGAACACGGCGATCAGTGTCGGGTTGGATCGGGGGCCCTTCCGTCCCCCATGCCAGCAAGACACACAGCCTGGGTGGTCTGGATAGACACAAACCTAAATGCTACATTTGTCCTGGGGGCGCCGAAATTTTAGAATTCCTCATTCTTCTCCTTTTTAGACACTCTCATGGTTGCAACAAAAGTAAGAAACGTTTGCACAGCGGCCACCCCTTCCACGTTTAACGTGGACGTCTGCAATATAAGGGGACTACATTCTAACCTCATTGCTGTCCATCACCATCTTGAGACAGCTAAGTCGGCCTTACTTTTTTTAACGGAGACGCAGATATCCTCTCCTGTCGATACATCATATTTAAAATATCCCGGTTACAGCTTGGAGCATGTCTTTCTGCCTAAAGCAGGGGTTTTTATGTTCGTCAGGGAAGATATCTGCTGTCGCCGTCTGAGCAACCTTGAAGACAAGGACCTGTCAATTTTATGGTCACGAATAGAATATGGGGGATATACCCGAATCTATGCGTGTATCTACAGGTCCCATAGTGGGAACGCTGAAATAGACCGACTCTTTAGACACGTCCAAGAAGCGACAGATTTCCTGCTCCAGCGTTATCCTTGCGCGGAGGTTGTGATCCTCGGGGATTTTAATGCCCACCACGTTGACTGGTTAGGATCTCGGACCACAGACTACGCAGGGAGAATTGCCTTTAATTTTGCGCTGACTTATGGCTTCTCACAGTTGGTACCTGAACCCACCAGAGTACCGGATGTCGAAGGCCATGCGCCGTCTCTGCTTGATCTTCTCCTGACCACGTGCCCAGATAACTACCAGGTGTGCGTCGACGCCCCCCTGGGTTCTTCTGACCACTGTCTGGTACGTTCGAAGGTGTCGATATCCACCTACTGCCGCCCAAGCGGGACGCGGCGAGTATGGCACTATAAATCAGCTGATTGGGATGGTTTGCGCGAATTTTTCGCATCCTACCCATGGAAGCGCATCTGCTTTTCATCGGATGATCCCTCGTATTGCGCGGATACCGTTGCGGATACGATTTTACAGGGAATGGAATGCTTCATTCCCAGTTCTACCGTCCGTATCGGCGGTCAATCGCAACCTTGGTACGATGCATCCTGTGCTAGAGCTTCTAGCGAGAAGCAGGAATCCTATCGAGCCTGGGTTGCTGCCCGCATAGCGAAGGATCCTAACGTCACCGATCTCAAAAAGAAATTTAATGCTGCTTCTAGATCGTGCAAGACACTAATGGCCAGGGCAAGAGACGATCATATTCGCAGCATTGGCAAGAGACTTCTAAGCCTTCCATCTGGATCGCGTGCTTTTTGGGCTCTCGCCAAAGCTGCGGAAGGAAATTTCTGTCGACCATCCATACCAACTCTGTGCAAACCGGATAGCACGCTGGCACATTCTGCAAAAGACAAAGCAGATCTCCTGTGCTCTTTTTTTGCCTCAAATTCTACTCTTGACGACGGGGGATTATCGCCGCCTACCATCTCGCAGTGTGATAGCATGATGCCCGAAGTACGCTTCACGCAACGTGAAGTGCGTCGAGCACTTATCTCCCTAGACGTCAAGAAGTCCAGCGGGCCTGATGGTATTCCGGCCATTGTACTTAAAACGTGTGCCCCAGAGTTGACACCGGTCTTAACCCGCCTGTTCTCTCAACTCTACGCCGTTAGCCAAGTCCCGTCTTCTTGGCAGGTTGCCATTGTTCACCCTATTCCCAAAAAGGGTGACCGCACAGACCTGTCCAATTACCGGCCCATTGCGATAACCTCTATACTCTCTAAGGTGATGGAGCGCGTGATTAATACTAGGCTCCTAGCATACCTAGAAGAGAACCAGCTCATTAACGACCGACAATACGGATTTCGACAGGGTCGTAGTACTGGTGATCTTCTAGCGTATCTAACTCACCGTTGGGCAGCTGCCATTGAGAGTAAGGGGGAGGCGTTAGCACTTAGCCTTGATATCGCAAAGGCCTTCGATCGGGTCTGGCATAAGGCACTTCTATCGAAGCTGCCATCATATGGACTTCCCGAGAGATTATGCCAATGGGTCGCTAGCTTTCTTTCTGGACGTAGCATAAAAGTTGTCATTGACGGTATATGCTCCGACACTGTTCAGATCAACGCTGGCGTACCCCAAGGCTCAGTGCTATCGCCTACACTGTTTATTCTGCATATCAATGATATGTTGTTAACTAACAACGCTCATTGCTATGCAGATGACAGTACAGTCGATGCCTATTATACTGGCCGAGCTAGCATCTCTCGGGCTAAGGTTGAGGAGAATAGAGTCCAACTTGTGTTTGAAATCGAGACTTCCCTAGAGCAGATCTCCGATTGGGGCCGACGAAATCTCGTCCAGTTTAACCCCTCAAAGACACAAGTTTGTGCGTTCTCCACAAAAAAAAACCCCATTTACTATAGCGCCAAAGTTCCAGAACACTTCTCTTAACATCTGTAAGAGTATCGGGATCCTAGGGGTCGAAATATCGAGCGACGTCCAATTTAGATGTCATCTGGAAGAAAAAGCCAAATTGGCTTCCAAAAAAATGGGTGTCCTTAACAGAGCGAAACAGTATTTCACGTCAGGGCAGCGACTTTTGCTTTATAAAGCACAGGTTCGCCCTCTCATGGAGTACTGTTCTCATCTCTGGGCCGGCGCCCCCCAATACCAGCTTCTTCCATTTGACTCTATCCAACGCCGGGCAGTTCGTATTGTCAACGATCCCGTACTCACAGACGACTTAGACACTCTAAGCCTTCGGAGAGATGTTGGCTCTCTGTGTGTTCTCTATCGTCTATACAATGGAGAGTGTTCTGATGAACTTTTTGACATGGTGCCACCGTCGCGCTTCTATCATCGCACCCTTCGCCGTCGGGTAGGATGTCATCCACACATTTTAGATGCTTGGCATTCTACAAATGTACGTGCGTCTCGATCTTTTTTACCTCGCACGTGCAAGATGTGGAATGATCTTCCTCCCGAGGTATTCCCTGAGCGCTATAATATGGGGCTCTTCAAGAGTAATGTCTATAGGTCCCTTAAAGGCCGGCAATGCATTCGCAACTCCTCTTGTGTTGCAGATGTCCATGAGCGACGATAGCCACTTACCATCAGGTGGATCGTTTGCTCGTTTGCCCCTTTTTTCTATAAAAAAAAAAAGCTAAACGTGTCATCAATTATTTAGAGTAGCCTTTGTGTTACTCCAAGTTACAGTGTACCTATGTATTAAATTATATTCAAATTTGTCTGCCTTTACAGCAAGACATTTGACTGTACATACAAACTTTCGGATTTATAATAGTAACGTGATAAATCCTGCAAATATTATGAATGTGAAATTTTCTTAAGATTTTAAATAAAACTATGTTTTCTATTTTCTTCCAAGTTATATTATAATTTTTGTGGCCAGGCATCGCCTGTAATAGTTGTTATAGCTTTAACGTCAAGACGTCAAGAACCTTAGTCCCTTCACCACGTTTTCGACAAAGCATTCTAATCGTCGCGACGTGTCGGAAACAAAAAAAGCAAAATAAAACTGCGATAAAAACTTTTAGTATTATATTTTGTTTGTTTTCGTGTTTTCAAAATATTTCGCTTAGTCTTACAGTTAAAGTTTTATAATTGTAGTTCGGTTTCTATAATTCGTAAAATTCATAAAATTCATATCATCAACAGATCTCTGCGAGGTATTGTGGGCTCAATCCATTTTGCTTCGGGTGGACTTCAACTTACGTTCAGCCGATCCGTTATTCATGGTGATTATTGGCCAGAGCCTGTGTTAAAGAACGACCTTGCCATTTTAACAACTAGTTTGACCATCCCCCTGAGCAACGCTGTCAGAATTATCAACATTAACTACGACTGGGTCGGTGCTGGAGTTGCCACCTATGTTACTGGATGGGGAAGAACTTTTGTAAGTTTGTAAATATTAACACGACGTGGTGATGATGACCTTAAAATCACGTAAGACGATAACTTTTTCATAGTTGCACGTTATTTAATATATTAAATATATTTATTTATCTTAGCTGCCTCGTTAGTCTAGTGGCTAGCATGTAGAGCTCTAAAGGTAGTGAATTCGAATCCCTAGTCTGGTGGCTGGTGGTTTAGTTACTAGTTACTGGGTATTTCTATTCACATATACTTAATAATAGCCTGGATTTATCAACTTGGCGTTGTTTCATTTCCATGTCTCGGCGAGAAAGATAAATTGTCAGTCCTCCATCTGATTGCGCACAACTTTGTGCATTATAATATCTACTTTGCATGTGGCCATATAAGTCAAGGCTTTTATTTAACATGTGGATGAGTTGTATGAACTTATCTTATCTGATGGTATATGATTCGTTATACAACAAATTACAATAATCTATATATATAATAAAATTGTAAGTAAGCCAAATCTGTATATTAGATATTTTTTGGAACATTTTATTGAAATAAACATTATCATCGATACAGAGGTTGAATCTATAATTTTTAGAATTTTTGTCTTTCTGTCTGTCTGTCTATGTTTGTCTATCTGTCTGCCTGTCCATCTGTCTGTTACCGCATCATGAGAAAACCACTAGACGGATTTTGATATGGTGATAGCTAACTATCCGAGTCAACATACAGGGAGAGAAATATCTTTTTTCGGAGAAAAATAGAAAAGAGTACAAAAAGTGTTTTTTACAAGGTAAAATTCAAAAGGTTTTCAAAATTTTACTAACAAAATAAGGCAAAAAACAATTTTAAAAGTAAAAATAACTTAATAATAGCTGATTATATGTTGTTTAAAAAGTTATCAGTTGATGTCGCCACAAATGTTAATATGTAATACGAAATTGAAGTTCCAAAAAAAAAATGATATTACTAGAATGACATTTGATTTAAATTAAATTTTAAAAATGTAAAGATTGATGATTCAAAAGTATTTTTAAAAATCTTTTTTTATTAAGTATATTCTGATTTGTTTTGCTAATATTTAAAATAATATTATATATTTAGAACGGAGGACCCGTTTCTCAAGTACTTCTGCGACTCGACGCTCTCTCCATCGATGGAAACCGTTGCAGGCAAGACGTAGCTCGCAGAGCTGCCGAGTTAAACATGAGAGGTATACCTACTGTTGATCCCAACCTGGAAGTCTGCACTTTCCACTCACATGGAAGAGGAATGTGTCACGTGAGTATTTATTGATTTACTTATTTCATTCCTTAGAACTTTTGTCTGACTAGCTACTTACCCTTTCTTCGCTCAGGTTCTTCCCTAGTGAAAAACAAAAACAAATCTATCCCACGGGAACCAAACATTTTTCCGGGATAAATAGTAATCTATGTGATATTCTAGACTATAATCTATCTCTGTGCCAAATTTCATGTACGTCCACTAAACCATTCTGGCGTGATTGTATAACAGACATCCATCCATCGAAACTTTCGCATTTATATAGTAAGATAAAAAGTATTTATTATTATTAACAAAGAAATATTTATTATTATTTTACTGAAACGCTTGTTTTAACAGTATCATTTTATTTAATACATATAAATTGATGGCAAAAAATATAGATATTTAATTCTATGTTATAAATAATCCCGTTTTTTAAACTGCCACAGTGGTGTTGTGGCTAGCATGTACGGCTGCACACCCGGAGGTCCTGGATTCGAGTCCCAGGTCGGGCCAAGTTTAGTTATTGAGCCTTTCTGTATAGTAAGCCTCAGTAACAGCCCGGAGTTGGCGGTGATTCACCCCTGTGCCTCGGAGGGCACGTAAAGCCGTCGGTTCTGAGCCTTAACTCTCACTGGTCGTGTCGAGCAGTCGTCCCAACAAGTATGAGAGTAATAGGAATAAAGAGTGCACGTTGTGTCTGCGCGTACACTTGTGCACTATAATAAGTCCTGCTCAGTTGGCTAGTCTCATTGAGATTGGCCGCCGTGGCCGGAATCGGTCAGGAGAACATCATCATAAATAATCCCTATTAGTCTAAAAATATTTTAACTTGCAACATATAATTATTGTAAGCACAGAAAATATACAAATACTCTTAAATGAATTTCAAAATGTGTATTTTCAGGGTGACTCTGGCAGCGCTCTTGTACGTTCTGACCGCAACGAACAAATTGGTATTACATCTTGGGCACTTCCTTGTGCTAACGGCGCCCCCGATGTGTTCGTAAGACTTAGCACGTATCGCAACTGGATCGAACGCAACGCCCGTTAAGAAATCTTCAATGTTCAAAATAAAAATTATTTGTTGTTTTTAATTTATTTTCTAAATTATCATTTTGACGCTTAGAAAGTTTACATAGTTACATCGATGGTGTTGATTTTATTTACATCCCTTACTTAAGAAATGACTGATTCCCCATACAAACTTCCATCCCCTTTTTACAACTATGGATAAGTCCTTCCCAGGATCTCAAATTGTCTTCATACCAATTTTTATCTAAGTCGGTTAAGTTGATTAAGCGTGAAAAGGTATCAGGCAGACAGACAGAGTTACTTTCACATTCATAATATATCATATGGATTTTTTATTTTACGGTTTTAAATTGAATGACCCCCTAGTTTTTTATGCATAATCTAAACAATGACTGTAAAGTATTGTTACGCTCTATGAGTTCGGGGACCGAAAATTAAAAGCACATCTTTGCATTATTGATATATTTTATTACTCTTGGTTAATGGGTAAAAATTAAAAAAAAATATGAAAAAAAATGTTAATCCGATTAGCAGTTTGTGAGATTAGCGCGTTTAAACAAACAAAGAAACACAAATAAGCAAACGAACGAGTGAACGAGCAAGCTAGCGAGCGAGCGAACGAACAAACTAACGAACGAACAAACAAACAAACAAACAAACAAACAAACAAACAAACAAACAAACAAACAAACTCTGCCTCTATAATAATATTAGTATAGAATTTTTTTATCTAAAATTGATTATTCATTTCCTGTTTATAATTATCTTTTTAATAATGACATGCTTAAGGATACAAGATATAATATTAAGTAGACATGAAGATTTTTATTTTAGGTACTAAGATATTTTATAATGTAAAAGTAATATATAATATTAAATTTTATATTACAACACAGCAATAAATAACGCTGTGGCTTTACACTCTATGTTGTGTTTTCCGTTAGTTATAGGTGATACGTGTTATATGAAACAAGAATAATAACATGTTTAATAACCACACTAGCAATTAACCCAGATTCGCTCATTTCTAGATATTTCTCTACATTCAGATTTTTTAATTTTATGTAATAGCTAGTAGAACCCGAGGCGTCGCTCGCGCTAAAACTACAATAAAAACTCTAAAAAGGTAAATTTCGTACAAACTTTTATCCTCTTAAGGGATGAATTTTAAAAATGCTAAAATATGTATTTATTTAATTGTACTGAAGAGCATTAATACCAAATTACAAGTAATTGTGATCATCAAATTTTTTTGGGTTATATTATATGCATTCCCATGGGAATGAGATAATCTCCCACGGTAAAAAGTAGTATGTCTCTCTCCAGCCCTCTATCTCCACACAAAAAATCACACCAATCCGTCACCCTGTTTCGATGTGAAAAAAAAGAACAAACAAACAAACAAACTTTCACATTTATAATATTAGTATGTATATTGATATCTAAAAACATAAAAAAGTTGTCATTTTAGACGGTAAGACATACATTTATGATATACTAGCATTGATTGATTGATTGATTGATATATAGATTCCTCATATTTATTTCGAAATTATATGTTGCGAATAATTACTAAAATGCGTGTAGTTAGGAAAAAAGTGAAGGAAAGACTGGTCGTTAGTATTCTGTATAGTGTATACGTGATAATTGTCGCGTAGCATTAGTAGCATACTTATAGTATTATAAATATAACCTAGTTACAATAAACTGTTATAAACTGGGAATGTTTCTGAAACTTGCTTTACGAACCCCATTTCTCCAAATAAATATTACACCATCTTACATTACCAAAGTTAAATAACCCTCGTAAAAGATTATAAGATTATATTATAAGAAATTATATCACACACTGCAGGATGCTATTAAAAGTTGAGTAGTAATTTATTTTTCGGCTCACGCGGTAACTTTTAATGATGCTGAGGGTTGTATTTTTATATTTTTGTCTCGTTACAAACGGCTATAAGTAACGTAAACTTTCAGCTATAAGTAAAGTAAAATATTTATATACTGCTAAATCCTATTTTTGGTTTTGAATATTGAGTCTTATTAGGCTTATTGAAACTTCTTACTGAGCATGAGCTGTCCGTTAATATTTTGTCCATTTTCGTACATTTGAAATGTAACAGTAAATATATTGGGACTGTTAAAAATATTTTTATTCTATTTAAATAATAAATAAATAAATTATGTTAAGACATTAACACACAGCACCATCTAGTTCCATGGTAAGCTACGAGGCTTGTGTTATGGATAGTTGATAGTTGATACATATATTATTACTTTTAATACTAATATTATAAATATTAACACCCATGACTGGAGTACAAACATTCGTGCTTATCACACAAATGAATGCTCCCAGCGGGACTCGAACCCGTGACCGCTGGCACAGCAAGTAGGGTCACTACAAAAAGAGCCAAAACGTGTCGTCTTTTATGTATTTCCATTGTAAGTAAACAAAATGTAGGTTGATACATATTTTTGTAGCGATATCGTGCAGATGTGTTCTTTAAAAGTTGACAACAGTTGGGAATTGTAAAATTAAAATGATATCATAAGGTCCGCAGCTAAACGGGACATGTTTAACTTTTTTAATATCAAACTTTTGTCTCATACTCTCCGATTCAAAATTCATATTTAAAGAACTAAGCAATTAGGTTTTAATTTTGGATATTTAAAAAATAATAATATGTAATGAAGGAGATTGATAAATAAAATCATTATAATAAGTACATACTCTTGCACAAAATGACTCATCTTTTCCATATTATGACGTTGCTTATCATGACAGATTATATCTGTAATGATATAGATATTTTAAATATATACATATACTAGCGGCTCACCCTTGCTTTGCTTGGGTTCACCTCCAGAAAGGCTCAAACAGATCTATCCCACGGGAACCGTTCATTTTTCCGGGATAAAAGTAACCTGTTGTTTGACCGGTAATATAAGGTATTAGCATTTCAAATTTTACTAAATTAGTTGCATAAGTTGTTGTGTACTAAGCTGTGTAAGTTACTATAGTTTTTAACTATCTCACGGGAACTCTTTAATTTTGCTGGATGAAAAGTAGCCATTTGTTATTGTCATGTATGAACTATATTATTGTAAAGTTTCATTAAAATCCAATCAGTAGTTTTTGTGTACTAAGCTGTAAAAGTTATTATAGTTTTTTAACTATCCCACATGATTATTTTGTATGATTTATTTTGATTTTTGGATCCCGACCTTTCGAATGCTTTACAGCAGTCTTGGTCACGGGAGAGACTGATGACCAAGTGGATGGGGTGAATATTCGCGAGAATCTAAAAAAGTATCATTGTTTTATCTTTATTTATTTTTTTTGTTTTTAGTCTTTCATGTAAATTTTACATAACATTTTATTTTAAACTCAGATACTTCATAGAAACATTTAAAAGTCATTAAAAAGATTCAGCTTTCCGGTCTTTACATTTATTTTTGTAACCTTTCCTATCGTTGCCTGGAAGAGATCACTTATAGTGATAAGGCCGCCTTTGCACATATTTTTTCTTGTATTTTTTCCTTTTATTATACCATTTTATAATGGAATAAAATAATTTAACTTTGACGACACGTTTGGCTCAGTTAGTAGTTACCCTAGTTTACCCTACTTACTGTGCCAGCGGTCGCGTTTGAGTCCCGCTGGGGGCATTCAATTGTGTGATGAGCACGAATTTTTGTACTCCAGTCGTGGTTGTTTATATTTATAATATGTATGTTTTTAGAATTATATATGTGTAGTGTATCAACTATCTGGTATCCATAACACAAGCCTCGTAGCTTACCATGGAACTAAATGTCGCTGTGTGTTAATGTCCCTATATATTTATTAATTTATTTATAAGCTTAAAAATAATATTGAATATAATTAATTAATGATTAATGAGAAAGTTAATGTTCAAGTAAAAATTAAAATGTTTTGAGTAATAATTGACAATAAAATAGATTTAATGTAACATTAGCAAGCGCAAGCGCAGTTTATCGTTATCTTCTTGATTTTCGATATATTTTTATATATAGATAAAATACCTAATGTATATTATGATTATTACGTTAATAATTACGTTACCACGATAGAAGAAAAAAACGAATATCTTCAAAAAAGATTGCGATTTAAAAAATATCTTATTTAAACGTTATATTTTAATTAAACGTAAAAAGTTTTTACCTGAAACAGCTGTTCTGCAGAGACATTATTAAATTATTTATTGCATGCGATAAACAGTCGATAAACGTGACGGAGAGGTATGTGAATCCAGCGCAATATCTAACAGTGTTCTTATATCTTATATTAAAAAAAAAATATTTAATCATTTAAAATATTTGTCCCGTGCTAAGCCAAATAATTGTATTCATCCCTTTTTAACGTTTCCTGTGAATGCATAAAATGGCATATATATAAAGGGCATGGGCCTCCCTTCAATGCGAGTGGGTTCAGACCATAATCCGCTAGGCTGGCCAAGCGCGGATTGGCGGACCTCACATATCTTTCGAAAACTTGCTAGGTTCCCTAAGACATACATGTTTCCTCACGATATTTTCCTTCACCGTACGACAAGTGGTAATCATGTTAAAAATGATTCGCACATGAAAGTATCAGAGGTTGGAATTTGAATCCGATTCACTCCCAAGCGAGTACGTTATCGCTGGTCCACCACTGCCACCAAAAATCAGTCACTACTGCACTGAGAGGAATAAAAACATCTCTATTAAAGCCATTAAATGCCGTCCATCTCACTTTCTTCAACATGCAAATTATATTTGATCTAACAAAATTCGAACATAAAAAGGAGCAATAGCGTCACAAATTAAATTTATTTCTGATGGAAAAAAACAACATTTCAGAAAAGGTTTTTTTTCGGTTGTCATGTAAATAAAAAATTAAGTGCCTCAAAGAATTTCCTAGAGATCCCCGCACTCAATCTTTGTTTGAGTACGACCTATCTGAAGCTTTTGTAGATTTAACAAAAGTGACCTAAATTCAATTTGTGT